GGGGGGGCATTGGCAGGAAGCATTGAAGTTGCTCGAGGCCATGCCGGAGGCGATAGTACTGCCAGATGTCATCACCTACAATGCAGGCATGAGCGCCTGTGAGAAGGGCGGGCGGTGGCAGGAAGCATTGAAGTTGTTTGGGGACATGCATCAGGCGAAGCTGCAGGCAGATGTCATCAGCTACAGTGCGGCCATCAGCTCCTGTGAGAAGGGCGGCGAGTGGCAGGAGGCCTTGAAGTTGTTAGAGGCCATGCCAGAGGAAGAAGTGCTGCCAAATGTCATTAGCTACAGTGCGGCCTTGAGTGCCTGTGAGAAGGGCCGGTTGTGGCAGGAAGCATTGAATTTGTTTCTCGCCATGACGGAGGCTGAAGTGCAGCCGGATACCATCAGCTACCGCGCGGCCATCGGTGCCTCACTCCAGTGACTGGCAGAGCGGCCCTCCCTTTCTTTGATTCGGCGATAGGAGACCGAAGATATTTGCACCGCCCGCTGTTTCGGCCAACTGTCATCCATACGGCATGGAAGGGATGCAACGGATGCACCTGTTTCTGTAACGGACCGACCGCCTCGACCAGCTCCCTCAGTCACCGGGCTCCAAACGACCGCCGAAACGACCGACCGGGCAAGAATCAGGTCACCTGTGGTTCACTGGTGGTTCCTGGGCCCGCGGAGGGCGTGGCCGAGTCGGATGACCGTTTGTGCCGACCAAAACAGGTGGTGAACTGGCAGATCAGCGATTTGTCAGCTGCACATGCTGGTGATTTCCCACTTATCAGATTGCCAGACACATGAAAAACGGTTCCATGCTCTCTCACAAACGGCTGGACTATTTTGGTTGGCAAACATGGTGTGTCCTTGGTGTCCTGTACGTTTCGGGGCGTTTGCAGCGCGTAATCGATGGCAGTTTGGAAACAAAAGAGCTTTGAACGTCCAAAACCTCGCAGCAAAAAACAACCAATCTGGTGGGTACTATGAATATACTGTATTAATATGTAATTAATATATCTATCAATGCTTAATGTAGGCTCTTCATGAATCAAACCTCCATATGAAAGATTTTACATAGTTTTTACCATCCAGATGGGGTGGGGCCTTACTACTCAGGGTGTTGGCTTGAGCCGAAAAAACATCCCCGGCAGCGGAACGGAAGAGTAGATGTAGCCCACTCCAGACATTGCATAAATACCTGCATTTTTACCCCTGAAATCAACTTTTCAACCACCCCAATGTAGGTAACTATGCCGTACATGGAGTGTTTGGGTATAGTATATATTTTTACAACTTTGATTCTTGGACATGATATATGTCGAGGCCCCAATCCTTTATCACAGAGAGTGGGACTCCACTAGAAGAGCCAGAACGGTGCTGAACTTTGCCAAAATCAGCCAATTTGTTCCTGGATTCCTGGTTTGATTCACTCTCCTTCTGAGCCATCCACCAAAGATCTGCATGACATGTTCAAAATGACCAACGACTTTCGCGGAGAGAGCTTCATTAAACTCAATATAAGTTGACTGGTGACTGTGTGGATCTTTGGCTTGAGTGATGATCTTCGAGGTGGATCCCCCAATGGGGCAGAAACATTCATGAGCCAGGTCATCAGCTCCCAGGCAGATCAAAATCAATTACAGGTCGTTTGGGGGGTGCCAAGCCCAAAAGCCGTTTGCCCCCGTCTCTTCAAGATGCCAAGCCCAAAAGCTTCTTCCTTGTCCAATGCCAAGGGAAACCCATGGCCATGAGTCTCTTGTACATGCTGATCGATTGCAACTCAGCTCGTTTTTCCTCCTCACTCGTCACAGCAACCAGGCTTTAAAGGCTGGAACATAAGGGCCAAAAAGGTGTGGGCCAGTTACACCACCACAAAAATGCTATACTGTAAACTGTAAACGTTCTCCTTCACCATAGGCCTCCCATGGGATTCCTTCCCTCCCTCCCCCCATGTTGTTCCGGTTTGAGACCTCCCGGTCTGTTTGCTCGACCTGCACCGGTCTCACGAGCCTCCTCTTTCGCGCTCCTTCACATCCTCGTGAGGCGCGAAGCCTCCTTGAAGCTCCAACTCTCCTACCAGACCCGCAGCTTCTTCCTCCGGCCGGGCCACCCTGCGGATGCATCGAGGACGGCGACAACGTCGTCGGCGCCGTATCGATTTTCGATGTGGCCGCGGGAGGCCCAAAAACACGCAGACTGCGTTTTGCTTCACTCGAAATTGTGTGAAGTCACTCGAAATGTGTAATTCATGCATGGAAGTGGTGTCTTGGGGAGATCAAGGTAGGCTGACTTGGCAGAATGGATGGACATGAGATTCAAATCATGTCCCATGTTTTGATCTTGACATCATGTTTGTCCAAAGCGAAGGAGACAAGTCTCCACCTAAAGTCTAAAGGCTTCAATGGAATCGACCAGACCAGACTGAAGGAGGCATAGGGCTGTGCAAAAAGATACGTTTCTCAAAACCCCGCTGTTTGGGGCGGTAGTGAAAACAGGGGACGGTACAGACAAAGACCGCCCTATCCAAAGGTTCCATCCCTACTTAAACGGGAGACAAAAAATTGCCACCAGAGGTACCTCTCAAGATGCTTTGGCTCCAACAATTCCAATCTCATGAGGATCAGTTGGACTGTTGTTTCCTTCCAACTCGCATGAACTGCGTACGCCTCGCGGGTCGTCGTTCGCACTCGCCTCGGCCTCAGGTCATCGGCACCGGTAGGCGACGGTCTGACCGGATGGGGGACCGGTTCCGGTGAAGACGCGGGATCGATGGGCTTTTGGTCCAGCCCCTTCTTGGCTGGACCATATAGCTATGGCTAGAGTCGTATGGCTAGATGTGAAGTAAACACAAGGGTGGGTTTCAGATGTGAAGTAAACACAAGGTGGGTGGAGTCATGTCATGGCCCCTTCTGTTTCAAGAGTTGGGATTGGTCCAGAAGCTCTGCAGCCAATCACTGAACATGGGTGGAAGGAGGGACTGACCGTCCCACGCGGCCTGGAGAATCCATGTGAGCAGCGCCTACGGCAAACTCGCCGCAGTGGTGAGTCGAAATCGTTGGGAACTGCAGTCGAATCAAAGGAGTTCTTGTCCCCAATCTTCTGAACAAAATAGACTGCAATACTGCTTCTAGCCCTAGGTTCTTCCTTCGTGGGAGTTCTTCATTCGTAGGGGGGAAATCTTCTGAAACCAATATACTTGGTTTTGCGGATCGGGTCCGGGTGGTTCTTCTTGTCCCCATGGGGGAAGTTTCTCGGAATGGACTTGTTCCTCCCCCCCCGTAATTCCTCCAAAGACTCCCGTCGCAGGCTGCTTGGCCTTTGGCAAGGGCACTTCCAAGTCCTACTTCCGCGACAAGCCCAAAGGCCAGGGCTTGGGAGTAGCGTGGAACACATCAGTTTACCTGGTTGCATTTGGTTAACTGCAGAGACTGCGGTGTGTTATTTTTGAAATGGCCAAGGGACGGCTTGACGGCTTGACCTTGCTATGTTTGATCAACTGCATCCTGGTTTTGCCTATGCAATGCGAGTGATGCATGCTACACATGATTTGCAGTACAAGCATCACAAAGTGCCTTTTGTCCGATTCGGCTCTTCACTCGAAGATGTCCCATGATACATTGAGGCATCACCATGGTCTCGACCATGGAGACCAAGGTCTCTTCCGAGAATGAATTCTGGGTTTTGCAATGGAAATCAATGGAAGAAGGGGTGTGGTTTGGGTTTCTCCCATGACCTGTGACAGTCGGTCAACGATTACCGCTATTTTGGGGTTCCAAGGCCTGCAACCTAACCATCATCATCCACTGTTGCTGGTTATGGGAGATAGCCAAGTGCCACTGAAAAACAAAGAGGGTCGTGGTGCCATTTTGGACGAGATTCCTCCACGCGGAAGGCCGTCACCCTTTGTTTTCCGCTTTTGTTGACCACTTCGAGGTGCGAGGCGCTTGATCTGGCACATCCATAAAACATCATAAGACCATGTCCATGTATAGAGACTTGCATGGATTCTGGCACATCCAAGTAGGGTTATCTACTACACTTGCCAGTCCCACGGATGGTTTGGTCAAAAGGATCCCATCATCGGTGCCAGGTGGCCCTTGCGGCAGGCGGGGCGTCCAATGTGTTTGCGTGCCTGGGCCGCATGCAGGTTCCACGCGTTCGAGGGAGGGTGGTGCATTTCGTGGGAGTTGGTCCATGAAAAAGCAGGGGAAGGTCGGGGGTGAACCCTCTAATCTAGGTAATATATACATGGCGATGCTCTTCTAGACTGTAAGAGGTGCCATATTGGACTGGAAGAGGTGCCATAGTGTTACCCCATGAACATGACCCCAGCCATCGAAGTAACCACTCCATACATGGATGGTTTGGGAAGCTCCATGTAGTTTCTCAAATCCATCTTGATCCATGACTTTGTTGGATCCACAAACTCTGGCAGGGATCCCAGCTTGTTCTCGTGGGTGTCATGTTTTGGAAGGGAAGGCTGGGTTTGGCAACAGGATTGCCCACACATGGCGCTGGCCTATCAGTTGGGGTGGTTTTGCCATGTTTTTCCTTGGGGGTCAATAGCATATATTCCAGTACAGATAGTTTGAGATCTTGGAGATGTGCCCTACCCAGGTGCCACCTATCGATGCGCCACCGCGGTTTCGATGCCCTACCGTGGTTTCGTTTCAGAACGACGGACCGGACTGTGTACGACTTCTGTCGTCCCAGACACTCCAGGAGGGGCCATACATTGGGGTGTCCATGAATTCCAAACTCCCGAACCATCCAGACCTCAAACGAACACGGCACCTGCAAGCTGTATTTGTTTCAGCACAGAAGGGCGGGGGGAGCCCGCCTTCCGGACTCCTTCTTCGGACTCCTTGGGACACGGACTTGGTGTGTTTCACTCCGGGTGGGTGTTGCTTCATTCAGCTGGTGTGCCAGTGATTTTCATGCCTCGTGCCAGGCTCTGGTTTCGCGAATGATTTGAGTTGTGCCATCTGTTGGGGTTTGGAGATAAGGCCCCCCAAAACCCAGAAGAGTATTTGGGTTTGTCATTTTGCTCGGTTTGTGGGTGTTATTGCAGGGCACCAAAACTTGCAGAGTAGCAGAGGACAGCGGTTACTTTGCAATGGCTCACCGATTGAAAGGCCGGTGATTGGGGTGTGCTTCAGGCGATGGTCGGACGCAACCAAAGCAAAATCCTGAATTCGTTCTTTTTGTTTGATTCATAAAGCTCCATAATTTACAGTGTAAAGCACCTTTTGATGGTTGTGCCATGCATTCTAACCACTGCATGTTTGCTCAAGGTCACGTTCTCGTTGCTCCTATTTACAGATAAAGCCTATTGAATCCACTTTCAATCGTTTTGCTGCCTGCAGGAGGAACATATACAACACCTCTAGATACTCTAGATCTATAGAATGGCTTCAGTGTTTTTCGGTCCCTGACCGATTTGACCGCTGGCGGGCGACCATGGACCCGTCCGAGCCACCATCGAAGAGAGTTCGGAAGGACATTCTCTCGAGAGACTCGGTGCAGCGACTCAGTGATGAACTGGACAACTGGCTCTGAGCTTCGAAGAATCATCCGGGATCGACTTCCGCTGAAAGCTGGAGCAAGAGTCGCTGTGATGAAAGGCTCTCAGAAGCTTTCATTATCGAAGACTTTGGCTCAAGAAGGGCTGGTGCAAGGGGAGCCAACTTCTTTGTCCTACGCCTATGAGGCTGCTTGCTTGCAGGAGGCTTGGAGATGCATCCAAAAGTGCCCTGTCGACGATGATGAGTCGATGGCTCTAGAGGGGATACGGCAGCTGCGAGGGCTGCAAGAGACAACTCCGCTTAGGAACCTGGTCAACCTCAAGCACCTTGCATTAGGCAATGACTTCAACGAGAGTCTGGAAGGAGTGGCCTGGCCCAGCGGTCTTCAAAGTCTTTCCTTCGGCGGTTTGTTCAACCAGAGGCTGCAAGGAGTGGCTTGGCCCAGCAGCCTTCAAAGTCTGTCCTTTGGCAAAGAGTTCAACCAGAGCCTGGAAGGAGTGGCTTGGCCCAGCGGCCTTCAAAGTCTTTCCTTTGGCGATAGGTTCAGCCAGACTCTGGAAGGAGTCTTCGTCCCACCCTCTATGGTCAACGTGGCGAGCAAAGCTTTCTCGCAAAAACCTTATTGTTCTTAATATTTATCGGGGTGGTGCGATCCAGACCCCTACAAGAGGAGGGTATAGCCATGATCCTTCTTGCCCTTTCTGCAATGCGCAGCTCGCCTCCATGCGGCATTTTTGGGCATTGTGCCCCAAGTTCAGAGCAAAGAGAGATTTTCTTGAGGGTTTATTTCAAATCCCTTCTGGTTGGTGGGCACTTCAGCCTCGCGTCACGTCCAAAAGTGGTTGGGTTGTGCTTTCTGCAGCCGACTCGGCTGTGCAAAGAGCCAAATGCCAGATTGCTGCTTGTGAGCTTGCTTTCGAAATCAACGATGCTTTGCATCCCATTTCTTCTACTCCTTAGGTTCTTTTCTGGGTTCCGCCTGGATTGTTTTCATTTGCCCTCGGGCGCTTGCATCCTGTGACAAGGTTTTCTTTCCTTGCCTTTGATCCGTGCAAAGCCCGGTACAAACCGGGGTGCGTCTAACTACCTACGGGCTTAGGTTGGCGCATGCATTGTTTTTTTTTTTCCTTTGGCTATGAGTTCAACCAGAGTCTGGAAGGAGTGGCTTGGCCCAGCTGCCTTCAGAGCATTGAGTTCAGTTGGTTTGGTGCCCTGAAGAGAGTGAATTGGCCAAGCAGCCTTCAGCGTTTGGTGGTTTGGGGCTCGATATCGGAGCTTGTGGAAATGGATCTACCTCGGGGTTTGCAAATGTTTGAGTGCAGATTCGAAGCGGACGAGGAGGATGATCGAATATGGATGGTCTCCACATCGGAGGATCGAATGGAAGAGTGACGACAGGAGCTCCCAGTGACGAGGAACCGGCCGGAACCGGCCGGGAACGGTCGGGTGCCACGTTGGTTCCACCCGAAAAGACCCGCGTGGTTCGACTGTGGCACCCCATAAAGATCCAACAGGTTGATTTATATATTTATTTACTGTATACATGTACGTTATTTTCCAGGGAAGCGGCTCAGGGGCCAGAACTTGTCATCTTTCTGGATGTTTGTAGTTCGAAGTCACGTGGCCACGTACCTCGTTGATGTGCCTCTAGGTCACTAGGATCACTAGTGTGAATTGTACATGGAGCGTTTGGGGTGTGAACCACATTTGCTTTCAAACCCGCCGTTTTTTTGTGCAACGATTTCAGGGGTGCATGTAATCTTCCAGTCCCATGGAGCCCGGGTCCAGGTACCTCCGTACTTCGGATGGTCGAATGGAGGTGAGAAAGTACTTCCTGTTCGGATGGCCGAACTGGGGCCAAAGAACGTCCGATTCGGATGGTCCTGGACCATCATGGACCCTTAGGGGAGAGTTTGGGAGTGAAACGACCAACGCAGCTCAGCTGAGCCGCTTTTGGCCGTCCTCCAAGGCCATCGACAGCTGAGCCATCCGGCAGCTCAGCAGCGAAGCAGCGTTTTCACGTGGGGCTGCAGAGGGAGCAATCCCAGCATGGCCATCATCCAAGAGATCCTATTTGTTTAAAGGCAGCTCACTGGTATAGTATGTATGTATGAGTTCGTGGTTTGGAGGGAAGGTGCTGAGAGACATGGGGAATGTCCGGTGAAATAAGGGAGGGAGCCAAGGAGATACGGAGAGTTGTTCGAAGTATTTGCTAGTATTTGACGTGTTGGAGTCCAAAGCTCTGTAAGGAATATGTATATATACTATGTTATGTAAGTTATGTATATATATATATATGTATTTGACGGGCCAACAATAGACCCTTGAACATTTCATTGTCCCAAGTGAACACTTAGAACATTGCCCAGTTGCACTTAGAACATGCGAAGTTGACCCCGTAACAACCCCACACTTAGAACAATACATCAAAATACCTCACGCTTAGAACACCTTTGGGCTTTTGTTCTTTAGTGTTTGTCCGTGACTTTTGTTTTAGTCAACATGTGGGCAAGCAGAAATCTTTGTAGCATCGACCAAGATGTTCGTTTCGTGTGGATGTTTTCAACGAAAGCATTTGCAGTTCTAAGTTATGTTTTCTTCCCACTGGTGCAACATCGCAGCAGGTAGCGATGCGGTAATGTGGTGGTTAAACATGAGATATGACTCCAAAAGCCGATGGGTCTTAGCTATGTTCAGTTCTGTCTTCCAACTCACATACAATTAATCATAACATGTGTTTTTCAAACTGTTTTTCTATGTCTTGTAATTATGATATCCTACATTGTATATGTGTCGTTTTGTTGGTCGAGAAACGACATGGCCAGACATGTCATAGAAGATGCTAGCAGAGAGAGGTCAGAGCAGTTTCATGCAATTTCCATGCGAATCTTAAAAGGACGAAGCTTCGATGACATGTTTCGTGTTTCACGATGAAGTTTCGTAATTATGATATCCAGCTTCCCACTAGTGCTTAAACGAACCTTATGAAGCGGGTTTTCATGAAAGAAGCTTCGTAAGGTTCACATGGAAGCTGAGTGAAGCATCGACCATTGCAGGCTCCAATGAATGAAGCTTGCATGTCCGCCGAACACCTGCAAAGACCCCAGGGTTGCGCGACCCAGCCGGCTGCTGGCAGAAGCCTGGCAACTTCGCAAATGTGGTGGAAAAGGAAGAAAGCAGTCATACATTTGTCAACTGACTGTGTGGCATGAGCCATATTTCTCAGGGTATGGCTATAACTATAACTATTGTTTGGAGACGAGCTGCTCGGAACAAATCCAAGGAGTGACAGCAGTGCCAGTGAGCATTTCCCCTACAAACGCAGGCTCTTCGACTCCATTGACTACTGGTTGGAATGCATTGATTAAAGGACCATTTTGGTCTCCAGATGTCCAGATGGGGGTCCATGTGAAGCACCTTTGGCAAGGGCGATTGTGCTATTTACTCTCACTCCACTATAGACTTTTTGATCAATCGAACGCAAGGAGAGGTTCAGTTTGTCGGAGGGAGATATGTTTCCCAAAGTTGGGTGATTTTAAGTCGCTTGCAAATGTTCGGGGACAAGGGGATACAAGCAAGTCAGGAGTGTTATTGCATCAGGTTTCCTCATAGAATGGGATGGACCAACGGCTCTAACAAGACCTTTGTAGGTTCTATGCCAAGGCGGCATGCAGTGGCTACAAGTGAAAAGCCTTGGTCAAACACCAAATGCCTGGGACACACTGTTAGGTACTTGACGGAAACACTTGTTTTCCTCGTGGGAAAAGATCCACAATGACAGGATCCTAGCTGTGTGGCCTACGTTCTGCTTCAATCACCCCTACATTTACTGTCATATTTGCATGAAATGTTGGGGTTCATTCACACAAGGGAACCTATATAAGTATATACTGTATATACACAATTATTATTACTATACTTACAGCTTACACATTTCTGCTTGATGCTGACTCATTCGTGCGCTGGAGGTTCAAGTTTGTAGCACATGTGTGCATGCACAAGCTTTTTGCTTGGAACGGGTGCATGTTGCCAGTGCTTGTTGCCCTTTGATGTTGCAAGCTTTCACATGTGTTCGCTATGAAGTTACGAAACTCAAGCAACAAGACATAGTTTAATAGAGCAACCCAGGGGACTTTTTCTACACGGCGCAACCACACGTTTAATGGAATGATAGTTGGCAGCTGATGAAGTGGTTCCTCCAGCGCAGACCGGACATGATTTCAACTTCAGAAGAGTCACCGTTCCACTGGCACAACCGCTCTTGAAATACATTGAAATACCCTTACTGATATTGGCCCTACTGCCAACAAAGAGTCTTATATTTTGTTGAAGCTGATCTTAACATCCTTTAACTGATCTTACTGCTCACATCTGCGCGCCCAGTGAGGTCCTAAACTCTTTTTCAGATCACTTGAGCACACTGGGCGCCGACCGCCGCGTGCCGTCTTCGACCGCCCGGGCGGTCCGGTGGCTTCATGTCGGGGAACGCAGAACGGGGAGGGGTCGCAGTTTTCGTGGCGTTTGTCGTGTTGGCTTTGGGTGACTCCGATGTGTAGAAGGTAGCGCATCAAGAACCTAGGTAGAATTGAAACCTAATGAGCATAGAATAGGCGGAATCACGAACAACGCATAGCACACACATATATATATATATACATAATTGACACCACATGATGGAAGAGCCTCTGCCACGTTGTGCCAAATTAGTTGGAAAGCTCTTCTTATGTTCAAGTTCTTGAGTTGGGAGCCTGGGAAGCCCGAAGAAAGTATACGCCCCGTCACCCCCCTAGGAGAGTCCACATATTTATATATATGGTGCCCCAGGATCTCCCTGAAAGGAGCCATCGGGTTTCACAAGAACAATAATATAGCTATGGATGTCGGCCTGCTGCCCAGCCCCCCCATCATCATCCAAAACGAGCCCTGATACTACGATACACCCAACGAGCCCTGGGTATTCCTTGACCTGGCCTCCCTCCGAATCACTCGGATGACCATCCAGATCCAAAGAGCAAACATGTGGGTGTTCACATGGCTGTGTCTACAATTGTTCACTTGTGTAGTCCCTTGATGAATCAGCCCCCCTCCCCCCCCATGATCATGTTACTGTAACCATTGTTCACATCTACCCACGATGATTTCAAGGGGTGTACACATCTACCCCACATGGACCACATGGACCTGGAGAATTGGGGCGACCGTGGTGACGTGCATTGGTTGTTGTCTTCCGAACCACCCAACCCCCGCAGTTTCGCACCGGTGGTTTTGGGGGGGGGTCGGTCCGAATCGCCGAATCGAAGGGTTGTGGAGTTTGGCATTGGGACCTTCAAACCCTAGTTGATGTTGACTGATCGAAGTCCATGTTCTCACTGCAACAATCATGGGTTACGTGGACAACTCCCTCTTGGTAGAGGAAAGGAGTCTTCCGAACTCGGGGCCTGTAACCTTCCACGTAACCATGGATTGTTTCAGGGAGTGAAACCTTTTGAGTTGTCACTCTGTCTTGGGCTTGTGGTTCTGGTTTTTGCCCCCGAATGTCACACGGTTCTGTCTTGTCAAACGGCTGAGGTTGGTGTTGCGGATCCGGTGATGTGTGATTTTCCCGGTTTCCTGGGTGGATCAATACCCAAGAGAGGTTGAGAGACCGGACCCTGTAGTGGTACATATATGGGATGGGCGACCAGACGGGCTGTGAAAAAACCTCTCTTGGACCTTCTGGACTTCTGGGGAATATGTTTTCCTTATAGCAAAACCGAAGAAGATAACACTCACCATGCCCACTGTCCAACGAAGTGGATGAACACACGTGTTTTGTTCAAGGTCCCCCTTTTGATCACTATTGCCGTTTAAACACATTTGGTTTGATGAATGAGGCGTTCCTATAGGCAACAATCACCTGATGGTCTTTGTGTCTTTGTGGTGTGGATGCAACGGATGGCCCTTCCGTCATGAGAGGCGGAAGTATGGCGCACGATTGCTGGACGTAGGCGTGCGGTGGCATGTGCGGGCGGGAAATTCATGGAAATTCAATACAAGGGGACTCTTGACAAATTTGGATTCCATCGCTATTAGGTTGAAGGCCATTGCTTCTAGGTTGAAGGTCATCGCTAGCAGGTCGGCGGCTCTTAGGTTGGAGGCCATTGCTTCTACATTCCATGCAATAATCCAGCAATCATGGCCTTCGACGTCGAAGAGGGGGGCTCCGCATTGGCGGCCAGGCACCATCGAAGATGGCGGTGATCGGGGCTGGGCGTTCACGAAAGCCCCTCAAGTGGGCAACCGGGTGCCGTCAGGAGGCCCAGATGAGGAAACCAGTCTTCCAAAGGGCGCACTTGGAGGGTGGGACCTGGGGGCGGCTCCTATCAGTTGGTGTGGGGTGATCACAAAACCAAGCGGTCCTCATGGAATGTGTAGGGCGCCTGGATCCTACGCAAGATAGCCAAACGAGATAGATAGAGAGAGGGTGGAGATGAAGACTGGACTCCCTTGAATCATTGGATGACATTGAGATGACACTGAAAGTTTCTGAATGTGACTTCTCACCAGGCACCATTTTCGTTCAGACGACCTGCGTTTGCGAGATGTTGTAGAACAAACCGGGACGTGCACGGCGCTGATCAACGGTTTGTTTTTTTGATGTTCCAGAAGATCCTTGAATGTGGAAACCCGAAAGTCTGTTTGAGCAAACCAGACAAGCTCCAAAAGGCTGCGGCGGATGAACAGATGACCATGCATCAGCTTTTGCCCGAGATGTCGAACTTCTGCGTGGGGCATGACCGGTTGGACATGTTTGTTCCATTTTGTTCCAAACTCCAAGGTATTGTCTTGACCAGACCTTGTCCTGCCTTCCCTACTGCTAGCACCCCCCCAAAACACCAAAACAAACAACATGAGCACTGATCACCGACATGTTTCAACCTGGACCTTTTTCAGTTCAAAGCCAGACCTTTCAGTGGTTTGGGTGGGGGGAACCGAACTCCGTGTTTCTCCATACTTGTTGTTCTTCCACGGTCCGACCGGTTTGGGGCGTTTCTGCCCACCGGCGCTGAAGAGCGCCGAGGTTCGTTTCCT